TTTTTTTATTTCCATGCCCCTGATATGCGCCATCCTTACCTATCCGGCCAACCAAGCTGACTCATGTGCATGTGTTTTGCGTCGCTCCACAACCTCCATAGTCGGTACTGGCGAAGACAACGATAATCGTGAGGACATTGCCAAGCTTCTTCCATACACACCAGCATGGATTTTATTTTGCCCAAAGGGAATTGCTTTCCCCTGCATGATTTGCTGCAGAAGGGGTGGTGGTGGTGATGGAGGTGGGGACGTTCTTCACGAGCTGCATTTTTGAAAATGGTAAATCAGGCTGCCCAGGGATTCAGACCCCAAAAACAGCTGTCCATGTCTGACGCCGGCGTGGCCGAGGCTAGGGAACTATGCCAGACATTGTGCGTCCTTAATGGCACAATCTTAATGCTGTTTACTGACACGATCCTCAGCGTAGTTAGGCGAATGTTCGTACTGCAGGAGTATGAAAAGGTAAGGAAAAATGAAGAAGGCTGCCAAGATAATCGTCCACACCGGGAACAAAACAAGTAGCGAATTGATTGAATTTTGGGATTCCGGTGTCAACTCCATCAGTCGATATGTCGATCTGATGCCGGAATACTCTACCCTGCGCAGTCACCTCCGGACTGACGTCAAAAAAGTGTGCTTGGCTTCTACCTCCTAGCACTGCTGCTTATTTTGATGCCACTTTTCTACCTGACCTGTGAGTTCCTGTAAGACATAAAAAGCTTACACGAGTAAAAAAACTGCTTTAAGCAATCTATCAGTTTTTTTTCCCTACTCTAAGCACTAAATTGAAGGTCTTCATACGTGTGAGGACCCTTGAAAACATTGTCCCCAAAAGATAAATACGTTTTTACTTTGCAAAACAGCGGCAGCATTTGTCTTTCTGCACTTCCAGATATTACATACTATTTACATTACATTTTGACACCCCGGATTTGAAGCAATACGTTTCCCAACCTCTGTCTCACACCTCACAGGCCCAATCGCTGTCCATTCAGAATACTTCTTTCCCTTCTCTTAATGACTAATACAAAGTCGGCTTAAAATTAATATCTTGCGCGTATCGGTAAATCGCAGTGCATTAGCTTCCACCCTCCTCATCTATGCGATAAAAGTTGAATGATACTTAAACCGTTTTTGCGCTGCCGATACAACAAAGAGAAAACAAAAACTTCATCGGCACTTCCCCAGCACTCTCCCACTATCTCCATCTCAAAGTGTTTTTTTTGTGATTGGTTATGAAGTGAATCAAACACACTCATTGCTCTGACCACGACTGCCTCCTGTTAGACTTCTTCTGACCTGACAGCTTTTAATAATCTGAACACTTGGCCAAAATATCTCGCCAGCATAGCAAATCCTCACACTTGAAGCTTGCACTGGGGTGGAGGCGTGAGCCACTTATCGAAAAGGTTGGGTTGGCCACGGACTTATTCCTCACTCAGCAGATGCTCTTATCGTCAACTTTCAAAAGCTTATCTTACGGATTGCTGAGATAGTTTAAAAAATATATACTACTTCCTTGATTTCAATAACTCGTTTGTTTGCATCAAATTTGGCTCAGATGAACATTGAACAGTGAAAGCGCAATGAACATGTTGTACGCTGTTATGTTGCAAATGTCTCATCTATTTTACCATCTACTTTTTTATTATTATTTGTATACATTTTGCATACTAATGCGAGCTGTAAACATTTTGCAAAGTCATTACTTTTTAAGCATACCTGTAGCGTTTCAATGGAATTTTTAGAAGTTTCTGTCATTTACCCGCAATATGCTAACTAAGTGCAAGCGTTTATTTAACCACAATCGATTTTTCCGCGCCCCTCCCTCGACTCCTCGGCTCCAGAACCCAGTGACAATGACAGTTTCTGCATTATGGATCATCTGGAGGAACCAATGAGCGAACATTTCCCGGCGGAGGCTGTCGGTAATGAGGAGGACTCCTCGTTGAGCTGCGCGGGCGACGATATTTCAACCTCGAATGGTGTGGTCAAACTGCAGATTGTCAACTCGGACCAATCTCAGGACAAGCATGTGGAACCAGCTAGCACAGACACTCCGGTAGTGCCGTAGCATTTTCTTGCACGTTTGTCTGACATTATGTTTGACCAAAATTCGGTCATCTGCAGACTTGATGCAGACTCACACCTTGCATGAATTTCATGTAGTGGCTGACGTTTAGAGAAAAACTCGTTACGTACTCGAGGCTAAATTACTGATAAGTCCAAGGAAATTAACTCTTTCTCTCGCATGCACTAATTTCGCGAAAAATTG